CATTTTCGGCTTACATCTGGTTAGGAAGTGAAATATTTTATTTTTCAATTGAACTATATGCTGCTTTCTGTTCAGTGTTTTTTTTTTTTTTTTTTTTTGGAGAGAGACGAGTTTTACCAGGGGGAGTTTATCTCTGAAATCCTGTCTTCCAAACTATCTGTCTGCTTTCCGGAAGTTCACCGAGTGAGCTTTAACTGTAGGAGAGCAGATGGCACCTTTTTTGAAAAAAAAAAAGTGATTTGTGTCTAAATTTCCGCTGCCGCTTACCATCAACCTAACGCTTTTATGGTTTTATTATATATTTTTGTCTTGGCAGTTATTCCTGAATTGAGTTTCTCCTTTACGCGTCCCTTCTCCTGTCTTTTTAGGGTGACGTCTGTCTGCCTTCTGTGGTTACAGTAATCGTTCGCCAGGTTGAGTTTCCCTCTTCCTGCCCTCCATTCAGTAAACGCCATTTAATGAGGTCGATCTGGTCGATTAAACCCACACTGGAGAACCAGGCCAGTGAGAGACTATCAAATGTCAATTATATTGAACTACTGTAATTATAGTTCAGTGCTTAAATGAAGTCATTAAATGATAGAGCGGTTTAGTCAGTTTTACCCTGAAAACCGTATTAGGTTACAGAATAATAGAATTTTATGTGAAAAAAAAAATAATAATAAAAGCGTAAAAAACTGAATGAGATATCAGCAAGCTGTAGCGAAGGGGCTGTGAATTGCATGCCTTTTGTTGCTGAATGAGAGATACAGACAGGTTTTATTTTCTCCCTTAACTCTTCCAGTTCCTTCAATAGGTCGGGCCGCGTGTTTGTAGACGTGCGCAGTGACACTGGGCGGGTGTCCGGCCCCCACCGTGCCCATTTTCTGAGGCACACATATGCCACTCCGGGCAAATGCGCGGAGCCCGCTGGGCCTGACGCAGTGTGTAATGTGGCCCCCATGCCCCGCCCCCAAAGCCCCTCCCCCCCATAACTGTTCTCCATGGGCATGGGCCCAGGACTGATTCGTCTGACAGGTCTGGGCAGGCCTCATTTTATTCACACAAGTACACAGAAATTCAGTCATTAACATGCGCTCCTGTCGATCACACACACCTACACACATGAAACCTATGTGCAGGCACATTGCCAGAACGTGAATTATGGTGTGGATTCCTCACACACATGCACACAAGCATAAACGCTAACCCACCACAGCAAACCCAGTGACGTGAGTGTCTTTATCACGCACACAAGCGCATTTTATGACTCCATTTCATTAGGAGAGTACAAGCCGAGTTAT